TTAAATATTTGTTCCTAACTATGATTATTCTTAACTATACCTATTTTTGCTAACAGAGTGGTGGAATGACTCCATGTCACAACGTCAAGAGCTGACCCTGGGTGTAAGGAAAAGTGCGCGATACAGACCGGGAAGTACAGATTACGTTCAGCTCCTCCCGGATGGAATAGAAAATAACACCTATGCAATCGTAATTTAGCTGGTAACTAGAAAACATACAAAAATAAAACAAAATAATGCAAATAATAAGTCCAAATCTTCAACTGAATTCATATTTTCTATCACAAAAACCGTGCCAAATTTGATGAATAGCAAAATGTATGGATTAAAGGGTTAAAAACGTGTGGACACAGTGGTAACTTTCAATCTATAAAAAGAACATAATATATTGGACAAGTGAATATTTACTTCCTTGATGTGAAATGTTAATGAGTGGATACACGGTAGTATAATCTGTTCAGTCATGTGGGCAGTTTTTAACACTCATTGACGCCGCACCAAATTGGGGGCCGTGGTCTGTAACACGAAGAAATAATTCGCATTCGTTGGCCACAAACGGTGGCTAACTTGCGCTGTTGCACTCTGTCTTATTTGTGTCATTTCGCCAACCACAGACGTTTACATGAAAATCAATGTATTTATGTAGTTTAAAAAAAAGTAATTCAAAAATTAATTTTTAAGAAATATTATTTACTTGCTTAACTCTTTAACATTTGGTCAATTACGAGTTTTATTACATGCGTGATTAAAGTAAAACACGCAGCATATTCGAAATTCTGTGTCCCTCTCAGTTTACGAACGTTTGATAATTTAATTTAAACGCATACATTCTTATCTGTTTTTTGTTATGATTTGTATCAGTTCTTACTATATTATTTTTAGTGACGATATCGGAACAAATAATTTCTCTTATAACTGGCACTCAAGTCACCTGATTTGCAGAACTTTTCGCAGGGCTATGCGCCCTTTGGCTTTGCTGAAGTGTTTTAAAACACTTAATTTTTTATTCTATGGCTGTCTTATTATTAAATATAATTATGTAAATATCGTCCTCTATATATTTATAGACAGTCAAATTATTTTGTAATAATAAATAATAATTGTGATTTTAGTAATAATAAAGAAAATATTTTACTAGATTTTTCCCAATTTCTTACACAAAATATTACAACTGTCTATAAACACCTAGAAGATCACATTTTCATGAGGATGTCAAAAACCGTCTACTCGCCTGTACAAAGCATACAGACACATTAGACTTACCTTTTTCCCGCTCGATACGTAGATCTCTTGAGCAGTAACCGGAGGAACCAAGGCATCTCAGTCTTATAACTCTTGCACCCTGGGTATTTCCCGCGAGTGCACAAACCGACCGGTCTTCGTTTCAACTTCTCTCTCATCGGCGCTTACTGCGCATGCGCGGAGCCAGGCCACCGGAGACTTGGACGCGCGCAAGACCTGCGTTTGCTCCTTTTGGGTGATTACCCTCCGAGGACAGCTCCTGGCCCAGGGAAGCACTCTGGGTCACTGCGGTCGTCACACTCAGAGTAGGGCCCCGCGCAGAGATTATGCCGATTGGCTCGATTCTGGGAAGGAAACGCCGGCAGGTGATTCGTAATAGTGTCCGGGACAGTAGATAAACTAGCAGAATACAAAACGAAGTATGGAGGAGTCAATGACTCCCAAAAATGCAGGGAAAATTCCTTTGAACGCCCCCCTTCCCACCCACGATAAGATCGCGGAAAAGGCAAGTGAATAATTTAAAATTAGTGACCATAGCTAATTTTAATAGATCATCAATAACTGTTATATTGGCATCATGGTGTATTTTTTACGTTCTAAGTCTGGAAATTACTCAAATTACCTTTTACTGTGTAAAATGGAGATGGTTTTATCATTGAAATATGTGTTAAGAACGTTTACGAATTGTACCGGGAAGAGGCCAAAGAAAAGGACAAATAAAATGAAATTATTCCGAAAATGTAGCATCCTTGAAATAAATTTTCTTTAGACAATTATGTTTTCTTCAATTGGTACACCTGTGCAAATCGTCAGAAAGTGTTAATCAACAGTAGTGTGAGTGGAACAGAAACAGATGGCTCTTCGTTTTCCTGTTGTTTGCCATTCCCGTTTGTCTCTTATTTTCTTTCTATTCTTTGGAATTACATTCTATCCTTTTCCTCATCATATCCTTTACTTCTTGTTTCATGTTTTTTTTATTTTATCCATTCCAACTATTTTTAATGTTTCAATCGCGCTTTGAAATGAATGTGTTTTGATATATTGCATTATCACTTGGAAGCAAAAGAAAATCGTGACAAAAGAGATCACATTTGTAGTGTATCCAATAAAATGCAGACGAACAAATGAAGAAAAACCCTTGCTTCGAACGGTAAATTCAGGTAATCCGATCGCTCGTGCGTAAACAGTGGTTCTTTGAAGCAAAGTTTTGCAAACAGTAGCCGGTCGACCAGTCAGTCGGTTGCGACCAGTGCACATGTTGGGGAAACCTTTTGTGTTTTTTTTACTGTCGTTCACAATTTGAAATAAATCCATCTAGTGGTTCAAACAATTTTGTAGAAGTACGAAGTACTATAAATGGTTCATTCGTTATTTACGTACACATGAAAGATGGTTTTATTGAAATTTAATGAAATATATTTGTACTTATACTTGAAGTATATTTTTGGAATGAGGAATCGTCATTAGGTAATATATTTAAAATACATTTATCACTTCCAGTGTACTTGAAGACATGTAAAAGTCATAATGCTATCGATGCTAGTAGTGAACGCTTTTCTCTATCCTCCTCTGCCTTCCTTCAAGGAAAATCGCAACTCACAGTACCAAACATCCGGCTTCACCAACATTTCTTCGTGATCTTTCTCAATTGCTTGCCAAATTTAGCTGACATATGCAATGCACCAGCCCCGCTCATTTGGCGTCAGGCGAGCGCCATCCATCGTGAGTTGAGAGAGGAAAAACCACGGGGAGAGAAAAGCTTGCGTGAGGAGAGCAGTGGAAGGAGTCACGGTCATTGCAGGAAAGGGCACGCAATTTAGCTTCAGACCTGTTTGGCGCACGCCTTATGATCCGCGGGCTGAATACAAAATTCGTCATTTATTAAATTATATAAAATTTTTTGTAACAATGTATTTTCAACGAAAACCAAATTTCATAAGTTATTAAAGAGTCGTTCATTTAAAGTAAAATATATATCAAAGACAAGTAAAATATGTAAATAAAGTAAAATGATTTAACAATGATTTTTATTGAAATTTTCAATCGGTTTCCAATCCACAACATAGCAAAATATGTTTTAGTGCACTTACGCTCATACTGTTGTAAATAGAAATCCTCCATAAATATTTTGAGAGAAATGTTCTTTACAAATGCAAAAAAATATAAAACAAATGTTTTTCATTTTTATTTCAATCTACTTCTTACAAATTGCGTGTCAGTTGTCAATTGCATGACGACATTTACCTTCACAGTGGAATTGTGATCTCTCTTTTACGGTGTCCGCAATGAAAGTATTTGCAAGACGTTCAATATTCATAGTCTAAAATCGATAAAAATGTCGTTATACTTTCGAATTTTAGTCCCGCGCAGTCATGCATGTTTGCGAACACTGTGGTTTTCAACACACACGAACACCGGAAAGCAAAAGATAGCTGACTCGCATTGCGCCGTCTGCCGATGGAGGTAGGCGTTCAACCATTCTGCCGTCTCTCCCTTTCTGAAACCCTTTCTGCTACCGCCGAGTGGTGTACGTCCCTTCCCCGACATAACGGCGCTCGGCGGACGGTTTTCTGGGATCACCGAACGCTCGTCACTCGACGCTGCTCGGTGAGCATCTGAGTTGAGCAGAGAGGATAGGCTGCCACGGCCGAAGTCAGTAGCTACTTGGCTGTTCGAGAGTCACCGCGACGTAGGCGCAGGTGCAAACGTTTCGGTCGCAATTCGGCGATCTTCCTCAGGGCGAAACACACCTTCACAGTACAATTGTGATATGACTTTTACGATGTTCGCAGATAAAGGATTTCTCAATGTTCCGTATCACTATCCATGGACCATGGAAATGCGTTTCGCCCTGACGGAGGTCGCAGAATGGCGGCCGAAAAGTTGGCACCTGTGCCTAGGACGCGACGTCACCAGGACAACCAAGTAGCTTCAGAGCTGAGCTAAGCTGAGCTGAGCTGAGCTGAGCTGAGCTGAGCTGAGCTGAGCTGAGCTGAGCAGGTCTGCTGAAGACAGTTTAACGTGGCGCCGTGTTGCAGGACCGGGGTGTACATCAAGCACCCAGGCTTCGGGTACGCGGGCTGGTGGGGGCTGCTGAAGCCCTTCTGGGTGGACTTCTGGCTGGCGGCGGTGGGGTGTGTGGTGGCGGTGGCGGCGACGCTGGCCGTGGCCACGCTGGCCGCGCCCGGCGTCCCGACGCCCGGCGCCGCCGACGCGCTGCGCTGCTTCCTCGACTTCCTCTTCCGCACCGTCGCCATCTTCTGCGGGCAGGGTGCGCGCGCCGGCGGGGCACTGGGGGAGCGTCTATAAATTACGCAACGCTAAATCGGGGAACGGGGGTTTGAGGCAGCTTTAGGTTGGGTTGCTTAGCGGTAGGGCGTATTAGTTGTTACGTAGCAATGCTTATTTTTATACATATTTTCAACATATAGAGAAATAATTCATTTCGCATTAAATTAGTATTATTATTTATTATTATTTATTATTATTTATTATTATTTATTATTATTTATTATTATTTATTATTATTATTATTATTATTATTATTATTATTATTAAAGCTATAACATCCCTATCCAGAACAAAATCCGTCCACTCACTGGTGGGGTAGCTCGCAAAAAAGAAGTTACCAGGAGATATATTACATTGCATTACTTACATTAAAATATTAACTAATTTGTTTTAAAAACATAAATAAATTGAAGGTAGATGTAAATTGTTACAATAAATGGAAACACGTTTTATTACCTTTTTATTGAATCTGTAAATTTAAGAAGAAAGTATTCAATACTGATATGTATTATTTTCTAGAATCCATTTAAATTGGTGCAATAGACTCTCGCTCTTGCGTAATTCATCACGTGTGCAAAGCATATGCACGGCTTGTCGTGTTGCGTAACAATGGAGGGGGGTTTAAGCGCGCGTTACGAGTCTGTTACAGAGAGTTTTCATAATACTCCAAATTTGCGTTACGTAATTTACGGACGGCCCCATTGGTTAACCCACCGTTGCCCATGTGAAGTTTTGTTACGCGCTTACTCCCGTTTTAGATATCATCGGACAACCGTCGATGTAATTGAATGCTGTTTTTTGAAATTCGTGTATTAATATTTAAAACTTTTATTGTATTTTATTAAATTTATGCATTTAATTGTGCATGATTTTATCTAGTTTATATATAAATGTTTGCCAATTTATTGACGGTGCCTTAAGCACCGACGGCAATGTTGCAGGGGTACCGTTTGCTCGCTTGCACTCGGAGAATATCAGCCACAAGCACAATAACTTCTACGTGGGCGTCGACAGAATGAAAGGCCAGAGCAATGGCTCCGTCCCCCAAATGCTTTCTCACGTTATCACACGGTTCTCTCTCCGCCAATCCTGAGCCATCCGCTTGCCTCCTACTGGTCATTGACTTGGTCAATCATCCACGCACTCTACTTACGTGAGGTGACAAAGCGACAATACCTATTTACGGCGACAAGGGCATTGCCCTCTGACAGGAAAATAGCTCCGAAAAAGGCCACGACATGACTGACGTAATGTCAGCCACGGAGCAGATGCGGCTTGTCCCGGTTAACCAAGAGCCATCAAGCCATAAGCAAGGTATATACAGTACAATTTCGTCCAATTTATCTTATTCTAAAGCATGGCCCCCAGACTGGACACTTACGCAAAAATAATTGTGCTAAAATAGCATGTACATTCTGGCCCTCTTTTCACGCAAAAGTATTCGAATTTCGTATTTGAAAGTATTCGAATACAAATTTTCGAAAAATTATACATGATTGTACATGACTTTATTTTAAATCTATCTCTAACTAACAAACTTCATTTAGCGAAAAATATGTATATAAAAATCCATTTTGGTTGTAGGAAGTTCCCGAAACGTTTTTTGCACTTTTGAAATTTTCGAAAAATCAGGGTTTTCATCGAACATGAGACTTGCACTATTCTCTTAAACGTCCTTCATACTATTCAATAGCAAAATTTAATAAAACACGATGGATCCATTTTTTTAAATTTGGAAAATGTGGCAGGGGCTTCATGTAAAATATCCACAAAATTAAAATATCGGTTTCAAATTTAAGTGCCCGCGACATCAGTCACATCAATTGAGAAATATAGATTCTGAAGAAAATCAGCTTAGCGGTTTAGCCGCTAGCGTCCTTCATAGACGAATAGATGGACAAGACGGACTGGGACGGAGCAAACATTTTGCCGACATTCAATTTTAAGGATCTATAAAATATGGATCCTGGTTACATAATGTGTTAGAAGATTTTGTTTCCTAAATTTAACTCAATTTACCCACTTTTCGTTGCCAGGGCCCTGTAATAAGAGTTTTTATGTAAAAAATTCACCGTTTTCTCGCGCAGCATTACATCTTTCTCTCTACTTCGTAGCGACAAAGTAAAAATGACGATTGCTTAATTTGGTGGTCAAAATCTGTACAATAGGTGAAAACACGAGCAGTTGTAGCACTACTAATTTTCTTTTATTTCCTTGAATACGCTACAATGAGTTGCAACAAAACTATTTTAGTCAAGTAAACGTATGGTCGCATAAGTCTGTAATAATAAGAATATATATAGTAGTCCCCCCTCTCTCTCTCTCTCTCTCTCTCTTTCTCTCTCTCTCTCTCTCTCTCTCTCTCTCTCTCTCTCTCTCTTAAAGGGAAGAACGCGGAGACGGAGACCACAAGCTTTGGGTGTCTTCCGGGCTTATATAAGCCTTTCACTGTTATAACAAGCGAGGGGGTGCGTGACGTAGGAGGTCACGTGGGGCCATCGCCTAGATAAACAGAAGTGTACGGAGCCAGTAGGCAGGTTCTGGAGACGGTGGAGAGAACCTCGTGCGTGTGCACAAAACTTGGCGCCAAGACGGTGCATTATGCGAGCCAGGCTCGCGAGCTGAGAGTCATTAGTTGACGAAGCCTGCGGACTTTATGTCCATGGTGACTGCGGTCACGGGGAGCGATGCTGTGTGCGTGCTCCAGCATGAAGATGTGGTTGAGTGCCACGATTCACGCCGATTCTCAATCGGATAAGATCGCTCCTGCCCGATCGAGGCCAAACCAGCCGTTGGTGCGCCAGACGGACTTCTGTCCCAGCGTGACATCCGGTCACGGAAGCTAGGGCTTTTGTGCGCGCTTCCCAAAGTAGGAGTGGCGAATGCCACAATCAAAAACCATCTTCAATCGGGTTTTGGATCGCTCCCGCCGATCAGGGATAGTAGGTCTATCAGAGCTAGGGTTTAAGTAGATATTAAGTGTATATATTTGTTTTGTTTTCTTGTTAATAAATTATAATTTGTTATACGAAAGCTCTGTGTCTGTGGTCGCTGTGAAGTATCCATGACGTTCACACTAGAAAGTAAGCCAACTACAAGACAAGTATTTCCCTCTACAGATATCTCCACCAGCAAGGAACCTTTCCAGTCGGGACAACTCCAAGCTCCCGACATTTGTGGTAGTGTAATGCAAGTGTGTGTGTGTGTGTGTGTGTGTGTGTGTGTGTCGTGTGTGTGATAAGGGAGAGGCATAGGACAGCGAATGGAGCAAGGAAAAGATCGCACGCTTATGTGGTCCGATTGTAGGGTAGTGCTCGGGCATTCCCGTTGTTATTGATAGGAGCAAACCACTGAAAACTACGATCAGAGCAGCCGGAACGCAAGAATTCTCCGCCTCATAGGGCTCGAATTTTCATGCCGTCAAGTACTATGGAAAAGTATGAGATAAAATTGCAGTGAAAAGGTAAATAATATGCAAAATAAAAATAATTTGCATTTGTACTCCGCCACAAACACTAAAGCACAGCATTTGTACTCCACCACAACACAAGTTGAAACACAAACCGCACATAGAAGTGAAAAAGAACAGTGCCTAATGAATTCTACAAAAACTAATGTTCTGAAAATAGTATATGCTTTGTACTGGTTTTTCTTCAATTGAAGGATAGAGAGAGAGGAGACAGAGAGAGAGAGA